TATAAAGAGGTGTGACTAATATAGAGGTATTTTCTATATAGTTATAAATAATTGGTAAAAATAAATTAGTAATTATATCAATTTTGTGACTATAGAGAAGATGACTATAGAGGGGATTGACTGTATATATAATTAAAAATAAGCTACTATTTTTGACCAAAAAGTTAAACAAAAATTTTACAAGTAGCTTATTTTTAAAATATTGAATTTTTTAGAAAAATCAAAATATTTTCATGAATATTTATTTAAATTATATAAAACTTTTAAAAAATATGCAACTTTATAAGCTGAACAAATTCTGTTAAAAGATCAAAATTAGTTTACTTAGTAAAATTTTAAGTTTTATATGTAAAAACAATTTGTAAATTTTTATGTTTTTTGAAAAAATATTACAAGGTAGCTTATTTTTAGTAGTAGCTTATTTTTGGCAATATATAGTAGTTTGTTGTAGTGCTTAATTTGATATAAACAAATACTGTATTTAATTAATATTATATGATATATCTATTAAAATTTTGCAATTTGATTAATATAATATATAAAGAAATTATAGTCATCTTTTATAAAAATACTATATATCTTCTACTAATGTACTGATGCTAAATCAGGATTAATTCATCTTTGCTAGCAAATATATGATTAATAAATACTATTTTTTTTATATTTTATTTTATTTTATTATTTTAACAATACTAACACTTTTCTCTTTTTTTTGAATCTACTTTCTTAAGAACATTTTACATTATTTTTTAATATTTTTTTTATAAACTTTTACTGATTTTTCAAAATCACTTAGTAAACTTTATTATAGACTTTCTTCTGCTCTTTTGGTGATTTGTTAGTAAACATTCTTATAAACTTTTTTTTATTCTTTCAGCATTTTTAGTAAACTTTCTTGAGTCTTTTAGCATTTTTGATAAACTTTTTTGGGTCTTTTAACATTTTGTTAAGCTTTTTTGTAAACTTTTAGCATTTAGTAAACCTTCTTGTAAACTTTTAGTATTTTTCAAGTTTTCTTTTAATTTTTTAAGGTTTTATTGATAAATACTTTCAATATTTTTTTGCAAAATTTTACTGATCTTTTGAAATTACTTAATAAATTTTTTTATAGACTTTCTTTAGCTCTTTTGACAATTTGTTAAACTTCTCTCTGATTTTTTAATATTTTTTGATAAACTTTCTTGGGTCTTTTAGCTTTTTTTAGATCTTTTGATATTTTGTTAAACTTTTCTATAGACTTTTAGTATTTGGTAAATTTTCTTGTAGACTTTTAATATTTTTTAAGTTTTTTTTAATTTTTTGAAGCTTTATTAATAAGTATTTTCAATATTTTTTTTGAACTTTTACTAATCTTTTGAAATCATTTGGTAAACTTTTTCAAAGACTTTTTTCTGCTTTTTCAACAATTTGCTAGTAAACTTACCTTTGGTTTTTTAATATTTTTTGAATTTTTTAAGGTTTTTAGTATTCTGTTGAACTTTCTTGTAACTTCAAATATTTAGTAAATTCTCTTATAAACTTTTAGTGTTTTTCAAATTTTTTTGATCTTTCAAAGCTTTATTAGTAAATATTTTCAATAGTTTTATTATTTTTATAAACTTTTACTGATCTTTTAAAATTATTTAATAAACTTTCTTATATGATTTGTTAGTAAACTTAACTTTGATTTTTTAGTGTTTTTTAAACTTTACTGAGTTTTTTAGCATTTCTTGATAAACTTTCTTGGTCTTTTAGTATTTTGTTAAACTTTTCTTCTATAAACTTTTAAATTTTGTTTTTTTTTTTTAAAAAAAAAAATATATTTTTTTTAGAATTTTGCTAACTTATGCACTAGGTGAAATTGCCTAGTCATATGATATAGATTTTAATTAATAATATTGTGATCATATATACTATATAAATTATATAGAATTACCACTTATGTAATTTAAGTATAAATAATATTAAGTAATTTATATATTTTATATACAGTATAATTTAGCAATAAAGAAACAGATTCTTATATTCTATATTTTAATAATAGTAAAGTATATTTTAATCTAATTTAATACAAAGACTAATTCTAATCTAACAGAAATTTCAAATTTTAAATTGATACTGCTAGAATTCTAATTTATCTAATTTGTATAATTAAATTTATAAAGATTGTTGAATATGAAGCTTTTCTACTAAATACATGATAGTTTGGTAAGCAGTATTATACATTGTTATATTTCACATATTTGAACATCAAGGAGCATAGTATCTAGCTTGTTTATATTTTTGGCAATGTCTCTCATGCTTTTGGTTATCTTGAGTTGCTAAGTTATTATTTTCAGCTTTTTGATAAGCTGAATTTGTGATTTCTTTTAAGGTTTTTGCCTTTTTGTTTAAACCTACTTCACCTCCTGATTTATACCTTTTAGGTTGTCATCTCTTATGCTGTATCTGTATTGGGTCACTAATAATATTATTATTATTTTCTTGAGTACTTAAGAGCTCTTCTTTTGTTTTATCAATAAATTTGTCAAGCTGATTAACAAGTTCATTCATTTTATCCGCACGAATAGCATAATCTAATGCTTTTTTTGCATATCCCATACCAAATCCAAACTGTTGTTTAGGATCACGTAATTGCATAATATTAGATGTTTGCCTAATGTTTGTAAGATGATGAAGTAATGGTTGATCCAAAATCAGTTCAGTTTGATTTGTATTAATCTAATAGGTTGATACTAAAGAAAGTTCTTGTTGACTAATTTAAAATTTTTTATTGTTATACCAATATTGCAGAATAAGCATAATATGAAACTTGGTATTAACTGAATAAGACATTACTTAAAAAAAGTGTCTGCATATAATCCTACAATTGATAAGCCAAAGACATGTGTACAAATGTGACCTATCATCCAATATAATAACATATTGGGAACTGATTGCTGATTACAATGTCTACATATTTTCTATACTTCTTATACATTATATAATGCTACATTTTCGAATAATAAAGAAAAAAGAGATTGCAGCTAATCATAATCATCTTCTCTTGCATAATCACTTTGATAAAAATCATCTATTGTCTAAAAAATAGACAGTTTTATTAATTTTTAATACAAATATGCTTTTTCTAATCTAATTTTTTAAATCTAACTATAATTACTACTATAACTAATATAAAATACAAATAATTACCTTTAATAAAGACATCTAATTGTCAATTAATACAACATCATAACAAATAGATTGTGCCATTTGATCTTACTGTTTTTTAGTATATTTGTGGTATTAAATACTTTTATAATTGTCTGAAGCGTAGCGAGGACTCTTACTGTACGAGATAAACCGCATGCACATCCATGCACTGTCCGGCGAAAACAACCAATTAAAATTGAGAATCAATAGGTCCTGTGATGATCTATAGTCAGTGTAACAATATATACAGTAATTGGTACAGAATGTATATAATAAAAATATACAGTATAAGATTATATAGTGCTTTAATCATATTGCTTCAGATATTTATCAGATCCTGATTTCCTAGTACTTTATTTAATTCTGAAAAATATTCATCAATAATTGATAGTAAACCTCTGGTTGGGATTTCATTTTAACACTCACTCAATATTGCTTTTTTTAATTGGTTATCAAATACTGACTAAACTTCTTTAACCACATTAGTTAGATACGATGTTCAGTTAAGTTTTTCTTTAATTATTTTATTAGAAACCTCAGCACGCTGGGAACTTTGTATTCTTGCAGTAAAATTTCAACTAATGGTATAACTGGCCCAACTTGTTTTGCAAGGATACAAAGTTCTTACTAAATACTGGCAGCACTTAGGATATTCATTAATTAAAGCATTCCATTCGACTTCAAACCAGTTATGGCATAAAGAATTGCGTATTTTAAAAAATTTAGCACGAAAATCTTCAAATTGACTATGCAATATTTTTTTAAGATGTTTTTTTAAATTTTAATTAATGTGAAATATACATTGAAGATGGCAAGTGTTGGGATAATTATTTCTAACAGCAGACAATAAAGCCAGATTGGAATCTAAATACAATATTATTGGTATAATATTGCAAGAATTTTTTAGCTCTTGTAATATCCAAGAAAATGTCTCTTCAGTCTTATCTTCTAGAATTGTTGCTGCTACTATAAGGTTTCTAAAATTATTATCAACTGCCGTAACTAATATTAAAATTATATCAAATTGATTTGTTTTTGAAATTGTATTAATAATCACAACATTATGATACCTTTCATATATGCAAACTTAGTCCAGAGACATCCAAAATAATGAATTAAGTCTCCTTTCATCAGGATCAAAGCGAGGTTTTACTATCTATGAAGGATCAATATCCTTTTTCTGATATAAATCATTAAGCATTTGACAAGCATCACCATGAATAGGTTTTGTTTGTTTTTTAAACTTCTGGATAGCATTACTTAAATCTTTTTTATTAATTATTTAATTGGAAAAGATGCTGTAAGTAAATTGTATTGGTTAGGTATTTCTAACCTTCCTTGAATTGTCCAAAGCTTGACTTTCTCAAGCATCTTATTAGTAAGCCATCGAAATCTTAGTGCTATTTTTTGAATATAAGGGTTCAGCAAGTGTTTATGATTACTAACAACAGTATTAATTCAAACATCATTGGCTTTTTTTGGAAAAGACAAATTGACATGCCAGAAGCATCTAATCATTTCTAAATCTCTATTTCTTCTATTTTCTTCTAAGATAACCTTTTTTGCATCATGTGTACGTAAATAAGAACATTTGTACATTTGCTGTCTTATTACTAAGTTATCTACTGAATTCATCATACATCTACTTTTTCGAAAAGAAAATTCTTCCTGCTTTGCAAAATCACTAATATAGGCTTCAGCGATTTCCCAAGTATTAAATATTATTTCCTTTTTTAATTCTAGTAGTGTAATTTAATTATCTTCTTCCTCAATATCATCTAGCTCTATATCATCATCCTCACTATTAAAATAGCTTAATTCTTCTTCATAAATTTTATATTCTGCCTTATTTAGTTAAATTTCTTTACTTAAATTAGAATATGATACATCAAGAGATGCTGTTGTATCATAGTTCAATATATCAGAAGATTATTGTATTAAGTAAATGAAAGAGAGTGAATAGTTGTATAATCAAGTATATAAAATTCTAAATCTTAAAGTAAAAACAATCTATATTAATTCTTCTACACACTTTGCTAACTACTCTTTTCCTTTACCAATGTCCTTTTACTACTTAAGATATGCACCTTATCCTATTAATAAAAATTATTCGTTATTATCATAAAGTCAAATTTTAAAATCACAAAAAGATAAGAATGATCAAGATGTTATTTTATCATTTACTGTAACATTTTACTAACTTTATATACTATCACTACACTTTTTTTTGGTTTATCGAAATTCTTTTTATTACTGATTGTTACTTTGGTGCTAGGTTATTACTAAATGTTTGCATTAGTTTGTTAGTAGATTTTTTCGATAGTTTTTTACTAAGTGTTTGTGCATTGGTCTTTACTAGGTGTTTGTGCATTGGTCTTTACTAGATGTTTGTGCATTGGTCTTTACTGGATGTTTGTGTTGAGTCAGTTTCATTACTAGGCACTTGCTTTTGAAGGTAATATAGAATCTATGTTGTTTGGTTTTGTATAGTGCAACTGCTAATGTTTTTCCTCTATACCTTTATCTTCCTATATCAAATAGTATAAGATAAGCTTAGCATATTTGATATTCACTTAAGGATTTTGTATTTATTCCACACTTGCTTTAGGTTTTTCAAAAATTTTCTACTGCAACATCTAGCTTTCTTTTATAATTATCTTCCAAACCTTACTTGTACAAGACAAACACTTCTCTTAGGCAAGGATTTTTACAAGAAAAAATGCAAATAGAAATTTGATTTTATCGATAAACTTCTATTTATTTATTTGATTATAGGATTATATAATTAGTTGTTACAATAGACTCTTACAATAGAATGTATAGTTATATAACCTTATTATTTATTATTATTTTACATATTATCGTTATAGTTTAGTAATCACGTATAACTAATTATGTGTCGAGGTAACATATCACAATATTTACTAGGTAATTTTGCTATAGATGAAAATTAGTCTTATCCTTTTTTTTAAATATAATAAAGTTTAAAACCAAAATTTATATTTTAAAAAGTTAATCAAACAAATGAATTTTTGTCTAAAGTTGATCAGTGAAATAAAGGTCTGAGTAATACAAATATGTCTGGTTTGAGTAGTACTTCAAAATATATATCATATAATATTTGTAGTTTTGATAAGTTAAGAGATATATCTTTTTGTATAAGTTATATTTCTTGTAAATAATGCTTAAAAGCACCTAACATATAATATTAATTATAAATATTTACTTCATTAAATTAAATATGCTTGTTTTGAACTATTTTAATTAAATATAATATCTTAAAAATTAATAATTAAAATCATATAATTTTAGTAATATTTAATTTGTCTTAATAAAACAAATTAATTGATACCAAAATCATATAATTTTAATTAATGATTTACAAAATATTATTATATATCAAATTAAAAACTATATTAAATTAGATATATCTACTTTATATACTATCTTTATTTTATCATAACTCTAATAACTAAAAAAGTTATTTTAATTTTAGCTATAATAGTCTATAACTACAAATATATATATTTTTATTTAGCAATTCTGCTACTTTTTATTTGAGATCAAACTAAACTAAAAAATTTATATTTTCTAATAATAGCTATACTACTATAATCTAACCAAAAAGCAGGTTATCTATGTTTGTATCAAATATGACTTGCTTTAATGAACTTTAAGTCTCTCTTTAAATCTCTAACTTACTAGAGAAAATCTTTTGATTATAGGCTAGTACTACACATCATATTAGAATTAATTTTCTTTTTACAAAACAAAGTACAAATACAAATATAAAGAGCAAAGCAAAAATAAAAAAATATCTTGATATCAAATTCTAGTTTATTTAAACAAACAAAACTAAATAAAACAAATAAGGGGTGTGACAACTTAGAGTAGTGGTTAAGTTGTCACTCCCCAAGCAGCAGGTCTAGAGTTTGAATCCCACTGAAGACGTTTTTAGAAAAATAGGTCTGTGTAATGGTAACAATTATTCAATGATCGGTTGGGTATATTACCTGTAATCTTGATACTACTATCTCGAAATAGAAGCTCTTGAGCAATTCAAATCCAA